GGTGGTGCTCTGCCTTTTAATTGGTGGTGCTCTGCCTTTTAATTGGTGGTGCTCTGCCTTTAATTGGTGGTGCTCCGCCTTTTAATTGGTGGTTCTTCACCTTTTTATTTGCCTCTAAGCTTAAAAGAATAGCTCTGCTTTTATTGCCCGCCATCAGTGGTGAGCACAGCTAACCAAAAAGTTAGCTTTGCTAACCCATATTTTTCTAACTAAAAATTTGGGAAGCTAACGCTAAACAGATTTTAAAAAATTGCAGAAGCTAACGCTCAACTGCTAAAGAACAGCGTTTCCCCTACCATTGTACAAGCGGGGTGCCCCTCTTCATCAATAGAACCAAGTGTCCCGCCAAATTAACCAAACGGCACCCCACCCTGACGTAGTGCTAAGCTAGCGGCACACAGTATGGGATTATAGATGCACTAGCTATAAAGCTAAAGGCAGCGCTTATGCTTCCCTTTCCCTCATGCTGAATGCACCGCACCACCCACCCCCACCCCACCTCAAAAATGGTCGGTACAAACAGTGCACAGCTCATGACGTGTCTCTGTGTGTACCCCCCCCCCCCCCCCCCCCCCCCGTCGACAAAAATCACAGACGAGATGAGCGCCCCGCCATGGCAAGTTATCTAGGGGAAACACTGTAAAAAGGTTTTAAAAAATTAGCAGAAGCTAATGCTAAACTGCTAACCGCTAAGACAGCAGTCACTCAGTTTGTGTCACGTCTTTGTCTCCTTCCAGTTGAAGCTGCATCGAACAATTACGTCTTGGCACGTGTACACGTAGTAAGCCTACATGCCTAATGGACTCTTTGAGACACACCCACAGCAGAGAGGAACAAGATTGTGAATTTTGTTAGAGGACTTAAAGTTGGCAAAACCTAATTTGGCAGAAGCTAACAGTTTCCAAAGTTAGCCGAAATGCTAATCCTCTAAACAAAAAAATTGTTCCGCTGTTAGCTGTTAGCAGATCAACAGAACTGCATCACTGCTCGCCACCATAGATGAGTAATCATGTTCAACTCTCAAAAAGTATGTAACTTTAAGAGCTGAACAATTCTTTGAAGTCAATCAAATTCAATTAATCAATCTAATAGATTTTTTGCTTACAGACAAATGAACCATGCACACACTTTTTTGTGGTCAGTGATAAGAAGTTTGTGTATCTATTAGTGTTATTCAGAGTTTGCCATGTCCTGTTTTTAACATGCAGATAAGGGTTTGCTGCAGTACGTCTGTTAATTTCTTCGTCAACATTTTATGTAACACCACAAACGTTGGTTACATAACAGCCACTTGTATGAGGAAGGCAGATGTGGGACCACACAGAGTGCACTGATGTGCAGCGAGGCTCCTGCGCTGATGTGAGGTGAGAGGACAGTTGTCAGGGGATGTTCGGCCACTTAAGCATCCCACACCCACATCCCTCCCGTCTAATGCCTCTACGGAGCCCCAGCAGCTGTCGCAATCTGTCACCGAACCCATCAGTCATGCTTGCGCACCTTCACACGAGCTGCTCAGCTTCCATTTCATTTTCCCCATTATCCGGCCTCAGCAGGCAGTTAATGGGCAAAGATGTGCAGAGGGTAGTCAGACCTGGTGGCACAGGTTTGCATGAGGATGCAGGATTAAAAATGGAGTCTTGCACATATGTCGTACTGGTAAAAAAAAAAAAAAAGTAACACTAGCAACTTGTGTAAAAGTGTAAATTCATATGTGATTTCTCCTTTCCTTTATTGTCTGTGTTTTTCTATTTAGTTAAATTTTGTAGAAAAACATTTGCTATAACGAAAAGGAGAAATCATATATGATAAACCGGTACATAATTCTTTATGGTTTCTTACCTTTTATTTGGTGTTTGTGAACATTTATTCAACAGTTCTCTACAAAATGTTTAGGAGGCAGCAGCCATCACAGCCTGGTCCCTCTGCACCGACACCCTGATTTGTCTTGTCCAGATGGTCGGTGAACTCTTGGTATGGAGACTTTTTGAAAGCTTTCTCCTTCCAGAGATCAGGTAGCTTTAAGTCTTGAGATCGCATCAAAGGTGACTTTAGCGAAGTTGCCAAGCATGGTGGTGTAGCAGATCGAGGTGTAGCAGTCATCAATACCAGCCATCATGAGCAGCTTCTTGGGTCCAGGGGTGGACACAGTACCAGTACCACGGGGGCTAGGATCAGATGCACCAGGATAGAACCTTTGCGGCTGGTCATCTTGCATAGCACAGTGTGGGATTTCCTGATCTTGTTACCAAAGTAATCTGACGGGGAAATGGACAGCTTGATAATGATGATGGTTCCATGGATAGCTGTTGCTACCTCCTTGGAGCACTGTAGTGCTTTTCTAACGCCACATGTGGGCACCTTCTTTATTTGATATGTCATGACTCATTACAGAAGTCAGCAGTGTGTAGCTGGGATCAGTACAGTGTGTACACGTGTAGCTGCTCCGCTCCACCTCAGTAACGAGTATACTCTAAATATATTCATGTATAAATATTAGACTTAGCGCCGTGGAGACCTGGCATTGTGTGGTTTTCTAAGTTATGTAATAACGTGCAAGTGGGAATCAACGTTTGGTTGCTCTTTTCCAAGCTACGCAGGAGCACATGTTGCTAATGCTAAGCTAGCTCTCCTCCTACGCACCACCACCACGTTACACTGCGTGATCACTGTAGTCACCAACGGCAACAAAGTCCATGAAACTTGTGCACGGACCAGCCTTGGTCTGTTTCTAGATGGGCATGAACGCCTCGTATTTCAGACCAGAACCCAGGAAGAAATTGATGATCTCAGACTCCTTGATGGGCAGAGAGTACAAGTAGATCTCCAGAGAGTTGATCTTCATGTCCTTAACAAGCTGGCCCAGCTTTGTGACTGGCACCCACTCCTCACCTTTCACACTGCACTTTCACTCCACACCTCTTCCATCTCCCCCGTTGAGGCTCTAAGCACTATATATATATATATATATATATATATATATATATATATATATATATGTCCTGCAGCCTTTGTGCCGAGGGCAAACCCACTGTTATAACGACTACCATCAAAAAAAACACCACACTTCTGCAAGGTCTGGTTGCTGTCTGATCAATTAGGTTAGACATTGCCAACGGCTATAGCCACAGAGATTCGGCTGGCGTCTAATTGCCTCTCACTGATTCACTAAGTCCCCCAGGGCTAATGCTTCTGAGCTGTGGGTAATGGCCACTGCTTGCTGCCATTTAGGAACAGTCAGAGAAAGAAAAGATTTCACCTGCTACTCTGAGAAATCTTCTCCCAACACAAGATTTCCTTGACAGTGGAATTTCAACACGGAGCAATAGAGAGAAATTTAAATTTATAGAACAATCCAAGGTCTGTACAGAAATTACAAAGCGCATATGCTGTTTAATCAGAAGCATGAACCCCCTCAGCTGACATGACGTGAAGGGGCAGCGACTCTACAGCACTCTTTAAGGCTGAGTCCGGCAACCTTATGGAGGAAGCTCATTGTGGTTGCTTGTGTCTGAGAGCTTGTTCTTTCAGTCATGATCAAATTTCATGACCATAGTTGATGGTTTGTTCGTAAATGATATGGTAAATCAAGATCTTTAGCTCTATC